GAGAATCCTCTGCAGCCCCTTCCTCGTGCTAATCGAGAAGGTACACTCACTCACTCAGCACTAATGGAGTGCCCCTTCACGCAGAGCTCTGTTCTGAGCACTGTGAGGAAACATAAGATTAAGAGTGGTCCAGATGAGAATCTACGATTCAAGTAAAAGTCAGGGAGGAACCCTTCATTCAAAGTGGGGATACGGCAAGTTTCCAAGTAGAGGGGAGTCCCACAGGAGTCCCTGATACAGGGAGCTTCCCCACCGTGGGAGGAAACGAAGCAGAGCCATGAACTACTTGGTCTGTTGGAGAAAAAAAAACGAATAGTTCCAAGAGGCAAGATGCCAGGGTACTCAGAGTGATAGAAAAAGCCGTTGATTGGACTGGAACAGAGATGGGGATGTTCTAGGATATCGTGCTAAAGAGTCTGAGCAGCAGCCTGTAAGATCGTTGTTACCACCCCCACTTTTATACACGAAGAAGCTGAGACTCAGAGAGGCCAGAGACGGCATGGGTGGGCAGCAGAGCCGGCCTCTATTCCAACGGTCTTTCCACTTCTAATTTGTAACTCTTAGAAATATTAAACAAAAATGCTGTGTAAAATGCTTTTCTAATAGAGGCAAGTTGAAACATGTAATAGGACAATAATTGTATTATGGGTCCTTCTAAATCCACGTTTGAAAACTTGCTCGAGTGTGCACATCTTCCGTCATTAAAGCGTTAATGACAGAAACTGGGAGCTGTGTGCTGCCCCACCCCCGGTGTCTGAACAGTGCCTGGACCATAGCAGGTGCCCAATAAAGGTGAAGGAAATAAAACCTGTCCTATTTTCATTCTAGAGAAAACAAGTCCATTAAATTTGAATTCAATCAAGGAAGTCAATTAGAGAATATGCGCACAAATATATTGGAAATGAATTTATGTCCCTTAATTATGGATACAGAATTTTATTTATGAAAACTAGGATCTTTGAATTTCCAGTTGACAGCTACCTAATTATCGAATTAGAGCACAGTGGTGGAAAGTACACGGGAGTCGGGAGTTAGATTCGAGTACAGTCTTGGTTCTATGCTTTATTTAACCCCAAATAAGACTTTATTTAACCTTGGATAATTTCTGTAAGTTTCAGCTTTCACATCTTTAACAGGAACATTTATACTACTTTGCAGGATTGTTGGAAGGATTACATATGTAAACTATGTTTAAAGTCCCTGTCACATACTAGGCACTCAGTCGATTGTTGCTATTATTGTTATTTTCTATTTTAATTTTTTTAAAACTCTGTTATACTTCCTGACAAACAGTCCTTCTGTTGGATGGAATTCCAAGCTGGTGCCATCTGTGGATATGTCTATAGGCATATAATTTTCAACCTTTGTACATTAAACACAGAATAAACCTGTAGGTATGGATAAATTCAGCTCAGTTGTTTCAGACCTGGGGAAATATCACCATTTATTTAATAACTGATGTCAAAATAGGGTTAAAACAACCTACAGGATAGTAGTGAACTTGGGTTTAAATAACTCTGTTTATATTTAAATCCCTCTACTTTCTGGTAGAATGAATGGTTTTATTAGAAAATAATCAGGAGAATGGTGGGGTGTGGGGGTGGCTCTGGCAGCTGGGGACAGAGTGCAAGTGGCAGAATCATCGTGATTCTGGAGAGGTTCTTCAGGGTCTCCTCTGTTCCTCAGTCTGCAGTCTCAGTTGGTCGGAGGAGGAATATTGGAGTTACAGCAGTGACATTTAATAAGGAACTTGATCCTGTATAGAAACTCTTTGTGGACAAGAATGGAGAGTATAGAACTCTGTGGCAGGCATCTGGAGGACCAACTGATACTGGCCTGGAGTAGCAGCAAGAGTTGGAGAGGGAGCTTTTTAACTTAAGGAAATGTATGGGAAAGCAGACATGAATGCATCTCCTGACTTCACATTTGAAAATCCCAAATGTGAAGTCATCGATAAACCCCAGTCCTGAAGAAATGTGAAATTTATCTGATAATCTAATCTGCCCTAGGTAAATTTTACAACTAACGGATCAGAAGTATCAGAATAAACATACCTTTCAACCACTTCAAACGTTCTTTAATTCTGATGAAAAAAAATTATTTGGTGATGTTTGGAAAGAATAAAATAATCAGTGTGCGAATTTTTATTCCTACACAATCTGTCCACTTTCCCTACCTAGACCCTCTTAATCTCAATGGTTCTTCTTGGGTTCTTAACAGGTAACAGTGGATTTTAAGAATAGTATTTACCACAGTCTTCATTCTTTGGGGACATTGATTTGATGGGAACAATAGATTTAGAGTTCCAACTTGGGGCAATGTGGAGAATTTACAGAAAACAGAGAGAGCAAATTAAACAATATCTTTGGAGAACTTATTCCCTGGCCAGAACAGACTAGCCGAGTCATTCTTTTGCTATGTATCTTACTTTGTTAGAGACATAAATCTCAGTTATAAAATCAGCTGAGGCCTCTGCTATGCAACTTTGTGAAGCATATGCTTATGAGCTTTACAAAGTTTCTATACCCTGGGAGCATCCTACCCAGTCCCCACTCCCTCAGGAATCTTTCATTAGAGGCTTGAGATGTGTAACTTAATAGGGTTCATGATCTTCATCCTGTTTTTCCTCTAAACAGGCCTCCTAAGAGTATTAATTTACAGTCTGTTTCATTAGGGACTTTAACACTAAAAATGTCAAATTATTAGCCACCCAATTTTTGTCACTTATAAGCAAAGTCTCCGTGATCAAGTTCCCTTTCACCTGCGAAGTTTGCTCGAGATGAGTCCCAGCTTCTTTGCAGCTATCCGATGGAATTTCAGCACTCGAAATTCTGTGTGCAATTCTCAACCTGCAGACGGACATTGCCTTTTAAACTTCAACTCCCCCTACAAAAAAGACAAGTTTCATCCTGCTTGGTAGTAGACATTAGTTAAGTTCTAACAGCCCGATCTTTTCTGCCTTTGTATCAGCAACACAATTTCCCCCAAATTGTTTGCTTTTCTAATAAAAAGGATTTTTTTTTTTAAAAAGGAAACATCCCACATTGTAATGGGCCCTTACTTTGTAACAAGAGTCTTTACAGGGGCCTGTTTGGAGTCTCTGAGCTTTGGCCAGGCTCCATCAAAGAAAAGCAGAGTAGGAGGACTTGGGGTCCCGTAGATCTCTGCACCGCTTCCCAGCTGCAGTGGGACCGGCCACCCTAGGTCAGGGTGTGGGCCCTGCAGAACTCTACATCAGAGCCCTGATTCGAGCCCTGGAGAATGCGTGTGTCCACATAGCTCATGTGGCCCCCTTTACATCTTCACTCAAATGCCACCTCCCTTGAGTGACGCCTTTCCTGACCACCCTTTCTAAAATTACACTCTTCCCACCCTGCTTCTCTGCTTTATTTTTATCCGAAGCACTCATTACAATCTAAAGTACTATGCAGTTTGAAAACATATCCTATTATCTACCTGCTTTTTAAAACGTAAGCCCCATGATGGCAGGGTCTTTTGCCCTTTTTGTTCATGCCAGTATCTCCGGCACCTAGACTACTACATGGTACATATTAAGTGCTCAATGTACATTTGTTGAATAAATGAACACACGAATGAAGGACAGGCTGAGGGCAGGCCTGGGGCCATTTACTGCCATTCCAGACTGCCCTCAGCCAACGACACCCAGCTCATCCTTTTCCAAGGGCCACATAGTTCTTAATAATGGAATGGAACCTCTACAGATTCTGGTTGTAACCCCTGAAAGCCTGAAGTCTGCTGAATCATCTCTTCATTGGTTATTGCCCTGGTCAGGTGTGCATTAGATATTCTATGGCTCTTTATAAGCGTAAGCTGACTATTTCAAGCCTCACCCTCCTATGGATACAAGTGAGATTATATTTACATTGAAATAGAAATCACAAGAGCTCTTAGCTTCCACCCACTTCCACCTCCTGTAATTGCAGGAACTCTCTGCATCTCCCTCAACTTACTGCTGTTTGCTTTCTCCCACTCAACTTCGCCAATACCCTCTCCCACCATCTCTGCTGCCAGTGCCCTCTGGAGAAAGGTCCCACCAGGCCCAGCACCTGAAACACTGGGAGTCTCCTCCTCTCAGCACCACAGATTCTCTGTGGGCCCTGGGGAGTGAGGGAAGGAGGGCAAGCAGCTCTGTTTCTGCTCGACACCTTAGTGACCACAGCTGCTTCTGGGCCTCAGTCTACATGTGGTTCAGATTTTACAATTTATGGGCAAATCCTCAGGTTGGTGGGGAGTCAAGGACTTGGATCCTCTCCACCCCTTCTTTTTCCTTCTCTCCTTCCAGGTGCTCATGCCAAATAACACCCTTCAACTCATGCACCCAAGTCAGATGTCCCTGTGCAGACAGACACGACGGATGGGGTGCCTGCAGTTGTCACCATGGTCCAGGGGCCTCTAGTCTATGACCTTATAGAACACCTTATAACCAACCCTTCTTCATTCTATTCAGAGGGCCCCTTACTGTGCCAGCCCTTTTCTGACTCTTAAGTGCACTTATGCTGAATTGGGAGTCAGCTCTAACTCTGCCCTCCTGGGAACACACTAGCAGTTCTCTCAGTGGTTTGGGGGCCAATCTGCTGCACACTTCTGTCCACGGACCCACTTATTTCTTTCTTTCTACGTCTGCTCCTTGAACGAAGCACAAACCAGCACAGCCCTAATGGGTTTAGGGCAACTTGCCTCTTTGAAAATTAGTGTTCTTACACATCACAATGAAGAGTTTCCTGGTAGACAAAACAATCCTCAAGTCATTCTCCCATGGTATTTTTCTTTACTTGTAATATCCAATCATCCTTTTCATATGCTTTCATGCATTTAGTTCTCCTCCCTTCACCCACACAAAACCTCTGTCGACGTATGACATTCTTTCTATACAGGACTTGGGCTTGAAAATATGAACTTTAACAAAAAAATATACATCCTTCACAAGGGAATATGCTCTCTTTAACACCTTTTAATGATTTGGTTGTAGCAGAAAGACGCCCATCAGATGTAAGTGGTGGCACTAGGAGGCATTGTTGTCTGAAGTGACCGGTGTGTGGTGCCCACCTCTGAGTCATGAAGGTCAGTCATCCTGGAGTTACAGTCCCGAGCAGGGGGCGCCCCATAGCTGCTCCTGAGGCTCTGAGGGCTTGTAGCCACTCCGGGACCCCTCTCCCTCTGCCGGTGTCACCGTGCTCTGTGCCTGCTGAGTCTCCTGCCACTTCACGCCATTGTTCTGCTCATTTACCCCACTTTGCTGTAGCTTTAGGACAAACAGAAATTTCCTGAGGTCTCAACATGTGCTTCTCTTTTTAAATGGCTCAAAACTGAAAAAAAGAGAGAAAGAAACATTGAAAATCAACTGTTTCTCAGAGGAAGAAGAAAATATGTAGGGTTTTTCACTGCCAGGAAAAGTGGCACTAAACTTTCACCCAGAATTATATACTATCCCTTTCTAAGGGCTATTTTTAAACACCCGGGCTGGCTCTCACAGAGCAACGAGATAGTCTGCCCAACCGGGGCTGCAGACCACTTCGAAATCTCTTCTCCAGGAGCCTGCAGGCCCCAGGCCAGTTCTAGCTGAAAGTTCTTTGCTAGATAGTGGCCTGGTCTGCTGTCTCACAGGCTCAGTTCGAAGTCCACAATTTTTATAAATAAATGTTTCTTGTGCAGAGGGTGTTTTAAGGTTACTGCTCCCAGAGTCTGTTTTTCCAGAAAATGTGAACTGTTTTTATTATCAAATGTCTTTTAGCCTTGTGACCTGAAACAAGTATCACAAAGGTTTGAATGTCCTAAACTTAAAAACAAAATCCTGCATACTCCAGCATTTTAATAAGTGAAAATGTCAATTTGCAATTAAGGCTCAAATTTTCATTCACTAAGTGGCTGACACTGATTCTACTTGGAACCACTGCTGATTTATTTATCCTGGAATAAATGCAATGCCATTATGTCTTGGTGACAACAGAAATAAGCTTTGGCCAGGTCTGTGCATAGTTTGGGGATGAAGAAAATAAGTTCTGAAAGGCAATGGGCATTGCTGATTATAGATTTTTATTAGGAACAGATGTGGAGCTAGGGTTTTTAGTGGTAGACCAACTGTTATTGAAACAAGCAGCTAAGAACCATATAGCTTTTTTTTCAGGAAAGAGAAATATTAACAAATCGAATTCATAACCTTTTCCTTCAAGAGATCACTCAGTCGTCAAAAACAAACTCTAAGATCTGTATTTCTGCGTGTGCTGAACAGCGCACACACAGGGGACGCTATGTGTGTTAGCGTATCTTCAGGCTAAAGCAGAGGTTTAGAAAGTAATTACAACAATTTCTTTTACCACTGGGCTAAAGCTCCAGATCTCTCCACTTCAAATTTATTTAAGGCTCCCCCCTTCCAATAGTTTCATCCTCTATAGTATCGTAATGCTAATGACAGGCTATATGTTGTGTTTTCTTTGTTCCAGAACTCTTTTCCTCTTCCTTCAAGGACAGAGTGAGCATGGTTCATGCTTGCTGTGCATTTTGGGCTGGGTCAGCTGAAGGGGAGACGTTAGACATTACTGATCATTTTCATCTCCCTCTACTACCCCCTTTTGCCCAGTCATTTACTGAGAACCCTTCATTTAAGGATATTGCCCTGAGATTTTGAATGACACTTCCAATTGTCTACCATTGGCCAGAACTTATTCATGTGGCCACACCTAGCTTCAATGGAGTCTAGGAAATGGAGAATTACTCTGAATGGTCATGTGCCAAGTTCAAGAATCAGGGTTCTAAAAGAAGGGAAATCCATATTTTGAATAATAGTAGTCTGTACCACAGATTTGTGCCAATTTACACTCTTATCAAGGGTATGAGAGCTCCTTTTCCCCATGTTTCCATTAAAATTTGGTATTCTCAGACACTAATTTTTGTCAATCTTATAGATACTTGTTCATTTTTTTAAATTTATATCCATGTCCTACTTCTATTCCCTTGCCCCTCAGCCAATCTAATGTATTTAATACATACCTTTGTTTATATTGTGCTAATGAGTATTTTTCAATATGTTCCTATTTTTAATTTTCTAATTCATAAAAGTTAGCATCATAGGTCTTTTTTCACTAAGCACTGTGTTTTTAAGGTTCATTTGTGGTGCTGTTGTACACTATTTGACTGCCTCTGACTGCCATGTAATCAATCATCTGTTACACTCACTCACCATCTTCCTCGTCCATCCTCCCGATGATGAACACTTGGGTTGCTTCGAATTCCCCAGCATCACTTACATCTTGCAATGAGCCCATGGGATGAGTATCATTGTTCCAATTTTACAGTTGAGAAAACTGAGGTTCAGAGAAGTTTAAAAATTTGCCTCAAGTCCAATAGCTAATGCACTCTACTGCCTTAGGCTGATGGCCTCTAGAAAGAAGGAAAGGGTGCCAGAGAAAGTCCACTTGTAAGTATAAAAGGTAAAGTGTCTCTGGTGTAATTTCAGAGGTTCCGGGTAAGGTCTCTGGCTCTAAACTGTCTCCTTCATTCAGTTCTCATGAGGCCCTAAAGTTAAAAGCAGAGATTCTTTTCTTTGATTTGATGATTCCTCTCTGATCAGAATCCAAATTGACTACAAACCTCACTGGCTATTTACGCCTTGTGATGAAGTACATTTTCAGTTGCTTTCTGGCGGTAAAGGATTAGGTGAGCTGTGCAGCTATTGAGGTGTGAGAGGGTAGTGTATCAGTGGGGACTGTATGAGTCTATGAAAACAGCGGCTCCGACAGGTGGCGGTTCTAAACAGTTTTCCACATAGTTCTCAAAGCATGGTCTCCAGCCATGGTAGCAGCATCACCTGGGAACTTGTTTCAGGGCCCCATCCAGACATCCTGAAGCAGACACTCTGGAGGGGGAGTCCAGAAACCTGTGCTTAATGAACCCTCCAGGTGATTCCAATGCCCACTGGAGTCTGGGAACCACGAGGTTCTCCTCTCTTAACAGGTAGTCCAGGGCTAAGCAATCAGGGCTGGCAGTGTGCTTTAGTGATGCCTCTGAGGACTCCTTCTCTCCCCCACTCTGACATATTCAGCGTATGACTTTCATCTTCACAGGATGGCACACGTCCACCCCAGGTAGGAAAGAAGGGCAGTGTAGAGTGGGTGGGGTCTGTATTGAGAAAGAAAAAGTCAGACGTCCTCTGCTTATTTCTCCTTGACAGTCAGTATCACACAGCCGTGCTCAGGTGCTGCAGAGTCCACCTGTGGGTGAGTACTGCACACACGGCCCTTGTGCCCAGGCCCCCGCGTTGGGATTGCCTTAGTAAGAAGAATGTGTGGGTTGATGTTGTGGGTAGGCAGATCAGCAGGCTCTACTAATTGCACTTAAAAGCAGAGATAGGAGAAGCCAAAATAGAGCAGAAAGTGGTCATGAATGGACTTAACCTGCTTCATAATGGTTCTGGAAGCTGGCCTTAATATGGGGGGGAGAAGAGATCACCACTCTTGACAGTTCCGGACACTCAGAGAGATTGCTGTTTCACCTGCGGGAACAGCAGTTGTTTGGATTTGTGGCCAGCAGTTCCCTTTGGTCCTCAGGGATCAAGAGAAGGTCCATAATTCACAGTAACTAAATCTGAAACACTAGCCTCAGCGCTGAGAACGTACTCTCTCCTGCAAAAACCACAGAAGCGATTAGCAGTGGGACAGAAAAAGATTAAGAAGGGCTCCTTCGGATGAGTTTGTTTACATGAACTCCCCACAACCCAGGAGAGGGGATCATCATTTATTTCTGCCTCTTGGCCTTGGGCCTGTTTTTGTTTTTTTTTTGTTTTTTTCCCTGAGTATCTCTGCCTGTTGGCTTAACTCTCCAGCTCAGGGAGTTTTTCGCTTTCTACATATACTTGGGAATAGGCTCCAGCTTGGAGAGAAAATAAATATCTTTATCTTAGTCCTCCAAAGGCCACCTTTTGAAAAGAAAAGCCAGACCTGCCCTGTCTCAAGCATTGGGGGTTACAAGTGCAAGAGGGACCCTTTATTCAGTAGCCCTTGAGCAAGCTCGCTGCCTCCAGCCTTCTGCCGGGGAGGGTGGGGCCGCCACAGCTCACAGAGACCTTTCTTGTTTCCCAGCTCCAAGGAGTGGGTTGTGCCCATCAACACTACAGGTGGGTCCTACGAAATTGCCAAACAAGCAGCTGCACAGCCCAGGGACTTTGAGCTGTTTGCAGCTCTCCTCTCTTTGTACCCCTGCCAACTCACACACACCTGGGATTTTACCAGCTGCCCGCCCACTGCAGCCCCCTCTCCACCATGTGACCTAATCCTCACTCCACCTGCTCCTCTCAGGGCAGCAGCCCCATCCCCACCTTGCCGAAATCAGGCCCGGGGAGGTTTGAACAAGAGCTACGTTGTTCATGCCTAACACAGCCAACTCCCACTAATTTCATGGCAAATTCTGAGGGATTAAGATTTACTGCAAAGAAAGGCTGGAGCTGACAATTAATCAGCTTGATCACTTGGGGATCAAATTGAATCGTACAGGAGACCTTGGCTCTGAAATGGAACAAATTTCTCTCTTTGGCATGATGTGCGTATTGGACTGAGAATACAAACATCGCTGTCCCCACCTTCCTTCTTTGCATACAGATGTTGGTTTGCAATTTTAAAACACAGCAAGGGCTGAGGCAAGTACTGCAGTCTGGGTGTTTAAAGTGATGCAGGGCTTCTATTTCATTCAGCAAAGAGTTACTTTGTCCAAGAAGTCTCTCAGGTGCTGGGGCAGTAACTCTGAATAACCTCGGATCTGTGTCTACAGGAAGGTCAAAATCCAGTCAAGGACCTGGAAAGGCTATTCACACAAATTTGACCATCTAGCACCAGGAGTATAAAAATCTGCAGAAAATACTAATTCAGACTGGGGATTAACAATGACTTCACAGAGGAAGTGGCATTTGAGCCTAGTTTTGAAAGATCTGATGGTAGTTCGTCCTTTCTCTCTTTGGCCAGACATGGTGAAATGACCTCCAGCCGGGACCTTTTCTTTAATTGTGCCTGACATTGGTCACACTGTTACTGCTCCTGACATTCTCTGCATGACTGCAGTCCAAGGCTACAGGCGGTAATCACCTTTGAAAACTGCCAACAAACATGAATAACTCTTCTTGTGCCAACTTTTCTCAAGGAAGTAATAAAAGTACTCTTGTGGCCAATGGCAGTAAGCATGAAAGTCTCTTTCTGGCTCCCTCACTGCCTTGTGACTTTGGACATAATATATCAATTCATTGCCTTTACAAACGTGGTTTCTTTACCATGGTGTTAATCAATCAACAAATGAGTTATAAGCACTTACTATGTGCTTGGTA